AGACTGATTGGGCGGTAGTTAGAGGATAGTGATCTATCCCCCTTCTTGAAAATCGGTATTACATTTGCTATCCTCCAGGATTCTGGTACTACACCTGTTTTTAAGGACATGTTAAACAACTTTGCTAAGGGCATACTAAGCTCTTCCTTACATTCCTGTAATACTCTGGCAAATATCTCATCGGGACCAGGTGACTTATTAGGCTTTAGTTTGTCTATTTGCTTACTAACATCGTTACTAGTCACTACTATCTCGCTTAATTTGTTTTCTTCACTATCTCTGAATAGAGTCGGTGCCTCGGGTATCGTGTTTAAATTTTCGGTGGTGAAAACTGTTGAAAAATATTTATTCAAATTATTGCTCATTTCTCCGTCGTTATTAGTGAGCTCGCCGGTATCTGACCGTATTGGTCCAATCTTTTCTCGTGTTTTAGTTTGATACATTTGGTAGAATCCTTTGGGGTTTGTCTTCGCCTCCCTTGCTATCCTTACCTCATTATTCCTCTTGGCTTTCCTTATCTCGGTTTTAACCCTACTCGCCAATATCTTATGTTACGAGTTGGGGATTTAGAATATAGTTAAAATTCTCCCCAGATCCCAACAGGCAACAAAAAAAAAAAAACAAAGACAATCGGACTATAAAAGGGTAGACAAAGGATGCGAGTTTTTGTTGTGTGTAATAAAGTACCATAAATTCCTTAACAAAATATTCAGCTTTCTATAATTTACCCTTAACCATACTTAACCTAAACATTAACAGTATATACATATTTATACAACATACAATAATTTGAAGCAAGGTGGACGCGGGGAGGCAATATAAGATTACAAATACTTAAGTGCGGAGCTGAGATGCCTGACGAGTAAGGCTGAGTATTGTAGAAGACGGTAGGTAGTCACTGTGCCGTAGGTTTCCAGGATAGGTGATCCTGTGGTCACTTCCCAGAGTGAACTGAACTCTCCTTGAACTGGAGCTGACGAAGAAGACTTTGAGGAGGTGACGCAACAACCAGGATATGGAGAAGGGAAACCCCGGAGTGGTAACTAAGACGAGTCATACTCGTGTTTCGTCCCTAGATGGCGTTGCTCGTGGTGCTGGGTAGGTAGATTATGACAATAGATGGCGTGGTTCGTAGTGCTGGGTAGGTAGATTATGACAATTGGTGGCGGGGTTCGTAACACTTATAATAATCGTGGAGGGAAATTTCGCCACGCAGTATCCTTCTACCTATAGCCTTCCTTTGGCCAATGATGTTCTTTAAATAATTATTTATCCATTTAGGGTCATTGTTGTCTGATCTGAGTTTTTTGTATGGTATGTTCTGCCTTTGTGCATTAAGTAACTCATTATTTAAATTGTCGTGGAACTCGGCAATCTCAGATCTCGTTATCAGGTCGGCGTCGTCTGTGAGGTTCACTGCCAAGCGCAACACCCCCTCTCTCAGATGCCTCTTTAAACTGTCAAAGTTTGCCTTTTTGAAACCTCTTACTTTAGTGGAATTTTCCTTACGTCTGCCCTGAAAGTCTAACTGGAATCTAATTTCTTTGTGACTGCTGTTTGCAAGTTCATTCCCTACCTCGACATTGCTAATGAGGGTTTCTCTGTTCGACAGAACTAAATCGAGTATATTATTACCCCGGGTGGGTTCGGTTATATGTTGACTTAGGAAACAGTCCTGGATCGTCTCGAGAAAATCCTCTGATTCTGAGTTACCTGTAAGGTCAGTCCAATCTATTTGGCCAAGGTTAAAGTCGCCTACTATATAGACTTTGTTGTGTATGGAAGCTCTGCGCATTTCATCCCAGATAAGTCGCTCATTGACTCTTATCAAGATTGGGAGGTCTATATATTACTCCTGTGATTAATTTTTCCCTACCGTCGCTTAATTCTATCCAAATTGTTTCTGTATTCCGCTCAGTTTTTATTTCCTTATTTATTTCACACTTCAGATTATCCCTAACATAGATTGCTACTCCGCCTCCTTTCCTGGTCTGCCTATCGGTATGGAACAATTTGTCACCTGCAATTTGGTTTTCGACCGGCAACTCACGTGAGTCTAGGTTGATCCACGTTTCAGTGAATGCTATTATATCGATTTTTTCGGTACATACCAAGGCCCTAATGTCATCCATTTTGTTTCTCATACTTCTACTGTTCGCGTAGTAGACATTTAAGTTAGTCGTGTTCTTATTCCTCCCTTTACCGCGTTTAGTTTTAAACTCCCTGTTTAATTTAGTTTTGTCATCATTCCTAACACTATTTCCCTGTAATCTTTTACTTTGTTTACCCGCTCCCACTGCAGTTTCCCCCACCCCTGTGCCCATATGTTCCCCTAGCAGTTTAAAAACTTCGATATCCTTTGAACTGCCCCCTCTAGAGACCCAGCCAGGGTTGCCACCCCATCCCGAGACCGGTGCACCCCATCCCTAGCATAAAGGTCCCTTCTGCCGTAGAAGTTGTCCCAGTTGTCAATGAATGGGACTGATATTGAATTGCAATATCTGTCAAGACGGTCGTTGACACCAACCGCCCTTGACAACCATTCACTGCCAACTCTCCTTCTAGGCAGGACACCGCATATGATAGGGATCCCTCCCTTAGACCTAATGCGATCTATAGCTGCCTTGAACTTATCAAGAAGCTCCTCGCTCCTACACCGGCCAATATCATTGCCTCCTGCACTGAGGCAGATAATGGGTTTGTTCCCATTACCAGACAAGATATTGTCCATCCTGTCAATTATATCCCCCACCCCAGCTCCTGGCAAACACACCCTCATCCTATTTTTGTTTTTACCACAAAAGGCCCTGTCCAAGTTCCTTACTTGTGAGTCACCAACAATTAAAGTTTTTACACCTTCCTTGTCATCCCTGTCCCTGACTGTACTAACGTCCAATTCGTCTATCAAGGGACTGAACGAGTTGGTACACTTAGCTGTTGTTGTCGTTGTTGTCGTATCCTTGGTGTATTTCTTCACCACCAGCTTGGTCTTCCCTCTCCTCACAACCTTCCACTCGCTTGAGTTTTCTTCAGGTTAGGTTAGGTTAGGTTAGGTTAGGTTAGGGCGACGCTGGAGAGGACACACAATACTTCCTCCTGAATTTTAACACTGATAATTACTAATACATGACCTAACCTAACCTAACCTAACCTCACCTCGCCTAACCCAACCCTCCAGCGTCGCCCCCACTAACGCTCGCCTGAATATTTCAAAGAGTGTTGAACATTAAAGCCTTTATACACTGAGCATTGGGATTGTCGCAGATTTTAAGGAATGTCGAGCGTATGGTGAGAGAGAGAGAGAGAGAGAGAGAGAGAGAGAGAGAGAGAGAGAGAGAGAGAGAGAGAGAGAGAGAGAGCATAAGAAAATAAGGAGTCTGCAATAGACCGGTTGGCCTGTGCATGGCAGCTCCTGTCGAGAGTTACTACCACTCTCTATCATCCATGAATCTATCTAGCCTCCTTTTATAACTTTCCAGCGTTCCAGCACTTACTATAAAGTTACTAAGCTTGTTCCACTCGTCCACCACCCTATATGTGAACCAGTTTCTTCCTATCTCCCTCCTAAACCTAAACTTATCCAACTTAAATCCGTTGCTCCGAGTCCTATCCTGCTCGGATATTATAAGAACTTTATCTATATCCCCTTTATTGATTCCTTTCACCCACTTAAATACTTCTATCATATCTCCCCGCACTCTTCGTCTTCCTAGGGAATGCAAGTTAAGTTTCTTTAACCTATCCTGATATGGAAGGTTTCTAAGTCCCGGAATCATTTTTGTCATTCTTCGCTGCACCAACTCTAGTGAATTTATATCCATTCTATAATAGGGACACCAGAACTGAACCGCATAATCGAGGTGCGGCCTGACTAGCGCAAGATATAGTTGCAATAAGACCTCTGCACTTTTGATACTTACACTTCTAGATATAAAAACCCACACTTGTTTGCCTTATTTCGAACATAAACGCACTGTTTTCTAGGCCGTAGGTCCGGCCATAAGTACCCCTAAGTCTCTTTCACAAGTCGACTCCCTCTCTAGGCTATGTTGTTATCTGTATGTTGACAGTGCATTTGTTCTTCCATTATTAAGTACGCTGCACTTGCTGGTGTTGAATTTCATTTGCCATTTTCAGACCACCCCTGCAGTTTATTTGTGATCCTCCTGTAATGCATTTGGCATCCTGCCCTGAATTAATCTGTCAGTCTCTATTTTGGTGTCATCCGCAAACTTGCTATGTCACTGCTGATCCCAGTATCTAGACTGTTTATGATTATGGTCAAGAGGGCTTCCACTGACCCCTGGGGAACCCCACTGGTTACACAGCCCCACTCAGATTTAACACCATCTACACTGACCCTCTGTGTTCTATCGGTGAGCCATGATTTTATCCAATTTAAAACTTTCCCCTCGATACCATGAGCCTTAACTTTTCTCAGAAGCCTCTGATGCGGTACTCTGTCAAATGCTTTGCTAAAGTCTAAGTAAATAACATCGTAATTTTCGTCATTATCTACTGCCTCGAAGACTTTCCTAAAAAAGTCAGCAGATTTGTTGGACAAGATTTTCCCTTTGTAAACCCATGTTGAGAGTCGTAGATTAATTTGCTTTTCTCTAGATGCTATCGGATGCTATCTGCTATAATTGATTCAAGAAATTTCCCCACTACTGACGTCAAACTGAATGGCCGGTAATTTGACGCTGATGCTCTGTCTCCCTTTTTGAATATGGGTACTACATAAAAGACAAATTCTCCTAGGTTACGTTTGGTTAAGTTAGGTTTTGGTTAGTTTTGGTTTGATTTCGTTAGGTTTTGGTATGGTTTTGGCTAGGTTTGGTTTTGGTATGGTTTTGGCTAGGTTTGGTTTTGGTTAGATTTTGGTTAGGTTTGGTTAAAGGTGACTGACGTTATGATCAATGCTATAAGAGGTTGGTCAAGTCTTCTGATGATCACCATTTTATGTTTTTGTTCAAGCTGTCATGACTGAGGAGAGTTTGTCACTCCCGGCTGTCAAGTACAACAACTGAGCTACCGTGTGTAGGCTGGGGTGAAGGTGTGGCCCCGTGTGTAGGCTGTGGTGAAGGTGTGGCCCCGTGTGGAGGCTGGGGTGTGAAGGGCCCGAGGTAGGGCTGTGGTAGGCGTGGCCCCGTGTAGGCTGGGGCGTGTGGCCCCGTGTGTAGGCTGTGGTGCTGTACCTCGTAGGCTGGGGTGAAGGTGTGGCCCCGTGTGTAGGCTGTGGTGAAGGTGTGTGGCCCCGTGTGTAGGCTGTGGTGAAGGTGTGGGCCCCGTGTGTAGCTAGTGAAGGTGTGGCCCCGTGTGTAGGCTGTGGTGAAGGTGTGGCCCCGTGTGTAGGCTGGGGTGAAGGTGTGGCCCCCGTGTGTAGGCTGGGGTGAAGGTGTGGCCCCGTGTGTAGGCTGTGGTGAAGGTGTGGCCCCGTGTGAGGCTGGGGGTGAAGGTGGCCCCGAGTGTAGCTGTGGTGAAGGTGTGGCCCCGTGTAGGCGTGGTGAAGGTGTGGCCCGTGTGTAGGCTGTGGTGAAGGTGTGGCCCCGTGTAGGTTGGGGTGAAGGTGGCCCCCGTGTAGGCTGGGGTGAAGGTGGCCCGTGTAGGCTGTAGGAAGGTGGCCCTCGTGTGTAGGCTGTGGTGGAAGGTGTGGCCCCGTGTGAGGCTGGGGTGAAGGTGTGGCCCCGGGTGTAGGCTGTGGTGAAGGTGTGGCCCCGTGTGTGGGCTGTGGTGAAGGTGTGGCTCTTGTGCTGGGCCATAGGTTGGGTGAGGGAGGTTGTGGATGGTACCCTATAGCCTCATCCACCTCCATCCGGCACCACCCACCTCCATCCGCACTCACCCACCTCCACTCGCACCACCCACCTCCACCCGCAACCATCCACCTCCACCCACCATCCACCTCCACCCGCACCACCCACCTCCACCCGCACCACCCACTGACCGCACCAACCCACTCCACCAAGTACACTCCACCTCCACTCGCACCACCCACCTCCACCCGCACCACCCAACAAACGGTGTCCTCATTACACACATTGAGCAAGAAGGAGCAAAGACAACAGTCCCTTCATACCTAAACCCTGTGTGTCATATCTCCTGTTGACAGTACACGAGTATAGTCACTTGGTCTCGCATGACACAGTACAGTACATGTTATATTGTGGACCACCAAGAAGTGTTAATGTTATAAATTATGAACTGACGTAAGTAGTTGTGAAGAAGAGAAAGATGATTAACAGTACGTGGTATATATTATGTTATTTTAAACAGTTAAGTCGTAATGTTGGATCATTCTAAACATGATTAGTTAAACATTCATTTTGCGTTTCCTATAATGACAAACTTCGCTTCAGAAAATGCAAAATCAATTTACAGTTCCCTTTTGGCCGGAGCTTCCATGAGTATACTGTATGTTAAACCTGGAATGTGTTGACGTGGGTTAATGGGAATTGTTTGAAGTTATTTGTATATATTATCAGTAATCTGTGCCATCTATAGTTCACTTAACCTTTCTAAAGTCAAGTCAGATTTTCCCTCGTGATACCTAACCTAACCTAACCTAACCTAACCTAACCTAACCTAACCATGCTACTAAAATACTCCTTTGTTGTGTCTACTCTCATGTAATCCACATTGTTGATTTAGCATTTACAGAGATTCTTTCAGCCTCCTCACACGTGGCCGTCGGGTACCTGCAGGTGAACGAGAGAGAGAGAGAGAGAGAGAGAGAGGAGAGAGAGAGAGAGAGAGAGAGAGAGAGAGAGAGAGAGAGAGAGAGAGAGAGAGAGAGGGAGAGAGAGGGAGAGAGAGAGAGAGAGAGAGAGAGAGAGAGGAGGAGAGAGAGAGAGAGAGAGAGAGAGAGAGAGAGAGAGAGAGGAAAGAGGAGAGAGAGAGAGAGAGAGAGAGAGAGAGAGAGAGAGAGAGAGAGAGAGAGAGAGAGAGAGAGAGAGAGAGAGAGAGAGAGAGAGAGAGAGAGAGAGAGAGAGAGAGAGAGAGAGAGAGAGAGGGAGAGAGAGAGAGAGAGAGAGAGAGAGAGAGAGAGAGAGAGAGAGAGAGAGAGAGAGAGAGGAGAGAGAGAGAGAGAGAGAGAGAGAGAGAGAGAGAGAGAGAGAGAGAGAGAGATCACATAAATAAGGAAAACTCAACACATCCCATTAAGTCCCTCACATCCCGATACAACTCCCCCATAATGACAATGACTCCCCCACACCCCACGTTAACGGTACAGTAAATCCCTCTTGCCCTTTGAGGTATAGTTAGGTTAGTTTAGTTTCTTGAGGCTGATGTATTAACAGTTTTACTTAGGGATAGAGTGGTGGCGTGGTAGGAGCGCTTGATTTGATCAGGGAGAAGAAAAATGGTCTGTTTCACACAAGCAATTTCGTTTCGGTCGTTTATTCCTGTTATTTCGTCTCATAGGCCCTAGATTAATGGGTTCTACTCCTAATAGGGGCTAATCCTCATGGTTTAGATTAGTATCGTCGCTGTTATAACAGGGGCCTATTAGAATTGGGCCTTATAAGGACTACTGTAGGCCCCAATATGACCACAGCCCTTTGAGTTCACGTGACCTACAACCATCCTGAAGGTGTAGCAATGACCCCCCCCCCTCCACACTTAAAAAACAAAGGTATTTTATTTATTTTTTAAATTTTTTTACGGTATACTGTCGCGGTAAACCTGGAAACCGTATTTGTACCTTAGGGTGAAGTCGAGCACACAGTATATCCCTGAACGCCCTCGCCTCGTCCTGGCTCAAGTAGTCGGTTCGTGTCTTTACTTGCCAGACATTGGCCGAGCTTTTGGAACTAACTAATGTTCCGGTTAGGTTTGGTTAGTTTAGGTTAGGTTAGGTTAGGTTAGGTTAGGTTAGGTTAGGTTAGGTTAGGTTAGGTTAGCAAAGTCATAGGTCTACATACTCTGGTAGGCTGAAGGAGGGTGTGTGGTGACGTCACTGTTGGGTGCAGGTCATAACAGCACTGACTGAGGCAGTGTGTATTGTTGCGGGTTTTTTTTTTGCGGAATCGGTTATTTTACAAAATGACCGGCATGCAAACCCTGTATCGGTAATTTTACAAAAAAAATTTCAAACACACAACCTAAGCTAACCTAACCTTATGGTTAGGACAACACATAGTTCACAGTTAAAACAAAAAACAGGACCACTTAAATGTGCTTCAAGCTACACGAGCCATCCTAACCTAACCTGACCTGACCTAACCTAACCTAACCTGACCTAACCTAACCTAACCTAACCTGGCCTAGCCTAACCTAACCTAACCTAACCTAACCGAACCTAACTTCCACCAGTTGAAAAATTTCCCACTTGAAATGTCTTTAGGCCTCAGTAAGACGGCGCCTCAGTGAACACAGTAACCTTTACCTGAGCTGTCTGCCAACAATAACAATAACTCGGCCTCTGTATTGCCTCGTGTTACAGTGACAAACACCGTCACCCCAGGGATTACTTCTTATCATTACATAGAGTAAACAAAAGAATATGTTAACGTTTGGAAGATATTGCATATTGATCACACACACACACGCGCACACACACACACACAACACACACACACACACAGCACACACACACACACACACACACACACACATACACACATACACACTTTCCCGTCAGGAGGAAATTTTGGGGAACGTACACAACCTCCTGAAAGTTGGACTTGAGAAGGATGAAGCCTCTTGAGGCTAAGACAGAAGGATTAGTAATGATTAACTCCAGACGCGTCATCCTAAGGCTAGAAGGAGAGCGGGAGGAGGAGGAGACTAGAGGAGGAGGAGACCGGGAGGAGGAGGAGACCGGGAGGAGGAGGAGACCGGGAGGGGGAGAGGAGGAGAGGAGGAGTTAGTGTGGGGAGAAGTTAATGTGTGGGAGAGAAGAAAAGGTGGGGAGAGAAGAATGGGGAGAGAGAAGCTTACTGTGGTCAGGTGTCAGGTCTTTGATAAAGTCAGCTGGCATCGTGGGTGTAGGTGGTGGTGGAAGGACAGAGCCGCGTGAGGTGGATCAGTTCTCGGGGAACAATGAAGGAGGAAGTTGGCTCACGAGAGAGTTCCTAATTCCCACACCTAACCTAACCTAACCCAGCCTAACCTAACCTAACCTTCCAGCGTAAACCTAACTTAACCTCGCCTCACCAAAATAAATCCCTAAGCTAAACTAATTAAATCATCTTTAACCTAACCTAACCTAACCATAACCAACCCATAACTTAAACCTAACCAATTCACGAATCTAGTATGAGAGAAAGATTGATTAGTTTTTGTCGGACAGTGAGGAAGGGTCTGGTACAGTATTTGTTGTGGGGAGAGGTGGAGGTGAGAGGTGTAACATATTAAATGATAAACTCAGGACTGGTTGGTTGTACTAAAACACACACACAGGTCAAAGGCTTGACTTATGACTGCCACACTGTTGACCTTTCTGTGTGAGAACCACGACCCGAGTCATAACAAGATGGAGTAGTCGGGTTTAATAGTCGGGTTTAATAGTCCGGTTTAATAGTCGGGTTTAATAATCGGGTTTAATAGTCCGGTTTGATAGTCAGGTTTAATAGTCGGGTTTAATAGTCGGGTTTAATAGTCGGGTTTAATAGTCGGGTTTAATAGTCGGGTTTACAGTCCGGTTTAATAATTTGGTTTAATAGTCGGGTTTAATAGTCCGGTTTAATGTCAAATTAATAGTCGGGCTTAATAACGCTTAATAGTTTGCCTTAATAGTCCATTTAATAGTCGGGTTTAATAGTCGGGTTTAATAGTCGGGTTTAATAGTCGGGTTTAATAGTCGGGTTTAATAGTCCGGTTTAATAGTCGGCTTTAATAGTCCGGTTTAATAGTCGGGTTTAATAGTCCGGTTTAATAATCCGGTTTAATAGTTCGGGTTAATAATCCGGTTTAATAGTCCGGTTTAATAGTCCGGTTTAATAGTCGGGTTTAATAGTCAGGTTTAGGAACTTCTATTACTGTCCACTAATTTAAT